ATGACTGAAATTTCCATGCTAGGAAAAAGTGGCATTATATTTCTCCAGATTTCAATCTCTCATTATTTAAAATCACAAATAAATTAGCCATTCCATTAGCGTATTGGCTTCTGTGGCCATTTATCTTCTTGGCATAATATAAGAAAGAGCAATTTTGTCCTATAGCTCATTTTGGAATGTTAAAATTAAGAATACTAATTAGGAACGCAAGAATGAGATGTGAAAAAAAAGGGTTATGCACTACTTTTTTGTGATTTCAAAAAATTTGTTTTTCAGAAGGAAATATACACAGTGAGTACTGATTTTTTCCCTCTCTCACAGAACATATTCAAACAAAATAAAAAAAAAATTGTTTTTTTTTTTTTTTTCTCCTGGCAAAGGCAATTGTAGAAGTAGGTAAGCTTAAAACTTCTTCATGAAAATAAAAATATTATTTTCGGAGGACCAATCAAGTAAATTTGCCAATAGTAGCGACAGAAAAAAAGAACAATGTGATTAATAAGACAAAATATGAGCTCATCAATTGAAAGGCCGGTAAAAATTCTTCGTTACTAGATAAATCCTACGATATGTTAGACTGATGATCAATGCAGAGCACAGAAAACAGGATGTAGGTATGTTGTAGAAAAAGCGACAGGAAAGTTGAGGAAGGTAGAAAATCGAGGGAAAATACGCTGAGGGGAAAAGCGCAATAGATGAAAGAAAAAAAATGAATAAAATAAAAGAAGAAAGAAAACAAAGAGTATTGTATAGAACTATAGTGTATTAATATAAATTATTTTTTCATTAAAAAAATAAAACTAATTGTATTGTTCCCGAATACAATTAAAATACATTCATCACTATAATATAATACTGTTTGAATCCAACAGATAAATAATGGATAGTACTGATAGTACTCATGATATTTTAAATCACTTTTTTAATGCAAAAACACTTAAAAGAAGCTTTAGCAATAGATTCAGAGAGTAGGATACTTAGGTACAAAGAAAAGAAGTGATAAAAGAAAACTTGAGAAAAAATAAATAAATAAATAAAATAAAATAAAAATTAAAATACAGAGTGAATACAGAAAGAGAAAAATTAAATAAGAGAGATAGTAAACCTAAAATAACTAACCCTGTAATATATAAATATTGATAAGAAATAATATTTTAATTTTAAAAAAAATTTAAAAAAAGAAATAAAGTGAAAACTCGACCGGAACGCTAGAGAGAAAAATGATTGCAAGGACTAAATTTTACTTGACACTAGTCAGGAAGGTATTGATGCCTAAATGAAATAAATGGTGGATAAAGAAACAGAATAGAATCACTGAGAAAGAAAATCACAATAGTTTCATGAGAATCTAAAAGCAGAAATCTAACTCTTGCCTGACATGATTGAATTAGTTTAAGGTATTTTGTAGGAACAATACCGAGAGATTTCTCAATTGAAGCCTGTCAATAAATAAAGAGGGTAGGTATGATTTATCAGTTGAATATGAAGGCAAGCAACGAAGCTCAGCTGAAAATGTTTTGAAGTTAGTGTGTCGGAAATCAATACATAACTGGATTCACAAACAAACCTACTAATTTGCATGAAGCATACTGATATAAATGCACAGTTAAGTTATTCACAGAAGATGAAAAAAAAAAAACAACAGAAAATGGAAAATTGGCACTATTTTTTGATCCATAAAATTCCAGGACCTGAAAATCTTTGCTTTTGAGTTCAACAGAACTGATATGATGAGGAAATCTATACAGAGATTCACCATGATGCATAGCTATGCTATCAATGGTTCAAAATTCCTTGCCTACACTACATGAAGGTGCATTCAGGCACGTCTAGTCGCTCAATGATCCCCAATGTAAACATTAATTGTTTCCCTAAATCGTCAGCAATGATTCATGGATCTAGGCAAGCTCGTCAAGCGGCTAGAGAGGCCGAGACAATGGGCCTTAAAAATAATTGCTGGGAAGAGAAATAACTAAATAAGTTTTAGTAGAATCCAAAGATCCATGTGTCTAACTTGGCAACGTAAGACAAAACCGCAAGAATTAAAAAATCGAATAAATAAAAGAACAAAATTTGAGTCAAAGACAATAATCTACTAACCGTCATTCTTAAACTGCTAATTATAGTCTCTTGTGGACCATGAAGTTACTTAGGGTATACTTTTTACAAAAAAGTACACTTATTTGTTACAAATTCTTAGGAAAGGTGAAGGGGCTAAATGAAAACAAAATATTGAATACTGGCCAATTAATAGTTGGAAAAACTAGCGTAAATGAATATTGCGATGAGTCTGATGACAACATTCGAACTGCACCGACAGTATCAAACAACTCTTAGCAGGGAAATCCGATAGCCTGCTTTGGGATAAAAAAATAGATAAAAATCAAAATAATTCTTCTCACCATACTGATCAGGTACAAATCGAATACTTCAATCAAAAGTTTTACTATCATTTGCTAGATTTTAAAAAAAGTGATTGTGGGTTGAAGTTGGTAGGCCTTGCTTTGCTAATGTCAGATAAAAAGCACCAAGTACTAGACTGAAAATGTATGTTTAGGAATGAATTTTTAAATCCTTTACTCAAGTAAAAAGACCCCACAGGAACAAGGAAAAGATAAGTTTTAAGTAGATCATCATTTCTATTATAAAACGAATAGCAAATGAAATTGGTGTAAAACACCAACTTTTTAAATTACTTCGAAAAATGGATGGGCTTCGATACGTGTATAGAAGGTTTTATTTTAACCTACAGCTCTTCGTATGTTTAAGGGAAAAACTGGCCAATTTACTTCTATCAGAGTCTTTCTATCAGAAATTTTCTTTTTTAAGTAATGGATTAGTTGATAGATTATTTTCCCTCAAGATTGAAAAAAAGCCCTGTTGAGCAGTCTGACATGTTAAGAAAACGTGTATTGCAGACTGGGATTAAATAGGTTTTATTTTAAGTACAATCAATTGTACGATCAAATAAATTTCAATTACTTTTTCCACCAAACATGCTTCACGAATTGTTGTTTTCTTTCAAGGTGATAGTGGGATTGACATACCTTCACAATGTATTAAATTCAACCTATTCTTTGAGTATTTAAAAAAACCAATTCCATGCCAATTGCTGACCATCAGCCCTCTGATGAACCCCCCAAAATTACATTTTCACCAAAGAAAACAGAAATTAGGACAACTAACGATACAACCATTGATAAAACAAGTAAAATCCAGCATTTTGTAGCGTCTGAATCTATCTTATCTCTAACAGTACCTCACACCGGTCTCTACAACACAAACAGAGAAAATAAGGACGAGGAAATTTGACCTCGGATTACTGATACGTATCACATTGTACCTTTGCAGGTTTGTATGATATGTTGAAACACTAAACTTAACACCATCTTGACCGTAAATATCGTTGCCAATTTATGCAGAAATTAACTAAGGATGGACCACTGGAATGGATTAGAAAATTGCAATACTTTGCATTTTTGAGTTTGCACAAATTATTTCGAGTATTGTTTCGACAATTCAGAGGAAGTAAGAGCAACTAAAACGGCAAAAAAATCAGTGAAAATGGGGACAACCAGATAAAAGAGAGGGAAAGTTTTTCCCTTACTTGAGTGATCAGGCTTAAATCTTGGTTGGTTATTGGTATCTTGATCTTGGAAATCGTATCCTTTAAAAATTAGGTTCCTTTTTTAACACCAATTCCCTGACAAAATCTCTGATTTTCCCTACTATTTTCCGTTTTCTACAGAATCCCAGTTTTTCCAGGTCCTAGGCCCCATGGGTTAAGATCACAAAATTTTCTCTCTTTTTAACAGCCCATTTTACCAAACTATGTAAAATTTTGGATACTTTGCAGTGTAAATTGGCAACACTACCTAAACTTAACTGAGATTTCAAAGATTATCAGGCTGATCGCAAAGCAAGCAGCAGAAGCTGTTTTTTAATGTCTAGCATAGACCAAAAGACACAACGCAGTTTCTTCCTAATTAATGTTCTTCCAAAGTTAAGAAGTGTTAAAGGTTGGAGCTAAAGCTCAATATCATAAAAAAACTTTGGTTAAAAATAAAAATGTCTTCACATTGACGCTTCATGATACTTAATAAACATACTCATTATGCGGTGATTATTACTCTCTGAGACGCCCAAATGTAGATTGCATGAATAAGCTATGAGAGTACATTAGAATATTTTCATGAGAAGATAAAATAAAAATGGAGGATCTAAACAAAGTCACGCGAAAATAATTAATCATTTACAAGTTGGAATAGCTATCCAAAGAATGTGCAACTTTGGGAACAAATGCCGCTTCAGTGGTGAACCTTTGTAAGAGGTAAAATTAACTCGAATTTTACTAAGGGTTCAAGAATCATTCAAAAATATATCTGCCAATCTACCGTTCGGAAATAGTATAGAATTTTAAAAATCTTAAGATCGACTTATTCAAAAGACTTTGATAGGATATCTACTAAAATAGCCAAGAGACAGGAATTATAAAAATAGATGCGATGTGAAATAATTACAAAAGGAGATTAAGTGACAAATGATTTGCAAATGTAAGTTGGAAAAATGCATCTATCTTACAAGGCATTCTATTTTATGACGTTGCAAACGGTTTTCATACCAACATTTTCGCAAACATGTAAACATTCGCACTGAAGGACAGATAGCAAACGCTTCAGGGTGAATTCATGATTTTTTTTGAAANGGGGGGGGGGGGAGATAATGGCAGGTTAGTATGTGGCAGATCAAGGAACGAACACGAGAAAGACGGCGAGCGTGGTCAAGGAGACGAAAGTTGTGGTCAAAGCTAGACAATGACAATTGAGGGGTTTGGAGGACAAGGCACATAGGTGCACTTTATGTTAATTCCAAGAAATATGCGTTTAAAGTTTCAAAATTACACGAAGCCTTAAGGCAGAAAGGAAGTTTAAACTTTCTTTTTGATGCTTTAGATTTGGATATTAGTTGTGAATTTTTCACAGAATATACTTTCAAACTAGTTTCAGTCAAGTTCACAAGTATCTCAATTTTTTCAAAGACTGCACTTATGCGCCTTGTTCTCCAAGCCCCTCAATTAAATCTTAAACATTCTAAACAGATCATTACTCAGGATTTGCTGCGGATGCATCTAGAGATCAATGCGAGACAATGTAACAGCATTTCATGCAGAAACAATGAATGACAGTTTAGATACATAAAAACCCGTTCTTGCAGTTTTCAAAATCAACTGATTCATCGACAATATTTACAAAAGTTCTCGTGAGGGTAAGCACGCAGTCTTGCCCATGTCAATATCAACATTTTTTTTAAAACTACATTCTTCAAATTTCCACTCGAGACCTGGTCAGTGAGATATTGTTAATTGTTTTTGTGCGTTTTTTTAATACATAATCATGTACAGTGGATTGAATGAGATTGTGACACCATTCAATTTATTAGTTCTCCACACACTGCATTAGTTTGTGTTTGTATTGTTTGTTTCTTGGAGTTGTGCGAAGAAAGTGGAATTGATTATGGACCATAATTCAAAGGAAAGAGAGGGACAAAACACGCTAGATACTATCACGAGAGGAATATCATTCCACATGAATCCAAAAGTGCCTTGGATTTTAGTGGGAGACAAAGACTTTGAAATGCTCAGAAGTAAGGACCTCAAAAAAAGAATACCTCACGCAGGCTCAAAAAAGGGGAACTGGAAAAAGATTATTTTAAAAAGCAACCGAGAATAAACAATGATCAATTTACCAGCAAGTGACTCGACTTTAAAGTTGAATGAAAATAGAGAGGTGAGGAAACAGAAAATCGAGAAAACTGCAAGAGACAAGCTTAAATAAGTAAATAAAAATTGATTAATAAATAGAAAATCAATTTGCAAAGAGATAACTCTACAGAGAAATAGAAAAAGTGTAATAGTTAACAAAATCAGTTGAAGAAAAGTATTAAGAGAACTGGTATTTTATACAAAAATTCAAACTTAGTCAAGAGAAAAAGTAATTACATAGCTGATTGGACAGGAGTAAAGAGTAAAAAGAGGGGAAAAATTAAGAAACAAATATGACCAACTGTGTTTCTAAAAACATGATAAACAATGATCTTGCTTAAAAACAATTTGTAAAGAATCCATCAGGAGTAAATAAAAATAAATATCCTAAAAATAATCAATAAATAAGATAAAAAAATACTATAAGGTAATATACTTAATTAAGAGATAACCTTGATACTGATAGTGGATTTAACCAATGGTCAAAGAATTCAAGCATTTTGTCACAAGCACTCACCGAGATTGTAATCGCTCCGAAAACTAATCGTCTTTGAACTGATAGCCGTCTGACTGGATATTTGATTTTGAAAAAGATACTCGCAAATGGTTTTGTTCACTTAGTTGGTAGTTGTGCATTTTGATCAGGGCTCCAACAGCGTCCTCGATGGAATTCAGCTGAATCAGAGCCATCTTCCTGTCTTTCGGGAAGAATTTGAATCCCTTCACAGTGAAACCATTCGACTCGAACAAGTGTTTGATCTCTTCCTCGGATATCGTCGCTGGAATGTTGGACAGGTGGAGCGTCGATGACGGTGGGTATATGTTTTGATAGTTTTTCGACCCTCGCTTCTTAAACCTGTGCAGTGGCGAGTTCGTGTAGTCTTTCGTGAGACCGGTGTCCGGCTGCCCTTCTTTGGGCATTTGAACAACTTGGTGCTTGGATGGCATCACGCGCATTTGCTTGCCGAACAACTTCAGCTTGTCCAAGTGTTGTATCGCCAAGTGCGCTTGGCTAGCCTCCGCCATCTGTATCAGGGCGCTATCTTTCTTATTGTACAGGATTTTCACACGCAGGACGTCGCCGTAGACGCCGAACAGTGTGAAGAGAACATCAGGATTTACCGATTCTTCGTCGAGGTTGCTGATCAACAGCACGCAAGTTCCGGTCGTTTGCGCTGTGAGTCGCTGCAGGGCTCCTGTTCCCAGGCCGGCGGTCGCTCCCAGTGTCGGAAGACCGAAACTCCCGACTGGCAGACCGCTCACCGGCGACCCGGCGTACGATGCTGCCAGGGGTGAGCTGAGCCCGAGCGAGCTGAACGGCGATAGGACACCGGGGGTGCTGGCCAAACGACCATCCGATTGCGTGAGGGATCTCCTGGCAGCTTGCAATGCGATGGGGGAGGCAGCTCCGCCAAGGAGGAGTTGCGGGAGAAGCTGGTCGGGCAAAACGTTTTCCAAACCACCCTCGCCGTTAGGAAGCCCTGGATTAGTGTAGTCGCGAGACTTGTCATTGTTATACTTGACGTTGAGATTAGTTAACTTCGAGTACTCGATCCGGAGCGTGCAGCAGGAATTGTAAACGTTTTGCCCATCGAGCGAAAGCTTGGCCGACTGCGCAGTGACCACGTCTGGGTACTGGATCAAGACTTGAAAAGAGTTATTGCGAGTGAACGTGACGATTTTGAGGACCTTCCCGTACCGTGAGAAAATTTGGTATAGAACTTCCAAGGTTATTGGGTACACCATTTGTTCGATGATGACGCGGAGAACCGTGTTGGGTCCACCTTGGGTTTCGCTCGAGCCGGACAGAGCTTGCGCTGCTTGGAGAGCGGCTTGGGCCGACGCGGAGGCATTACTGTGTGTCTGGTCTGTTTTGAGCTCCTTGTGATTGGAGAACTGGACGTAGACGGCTCTGTCTCGGAGCTGGGCAGTGCAGTTGGTGAAGTATTGGACCATGGAGATGGCGGCTGCTTCGTCGCCCATCTCTAGGAAGGCTTGGTTCTTGCCTTTCAGGACGAGGACGTTGGTCACTCGCCCGAAGGGAATGCCCAGATGAATGATCTCGGCCTCTGTTACTTCATTTGGAATGTTGCGGATGTGAATAACTTTGGAGGGGTTTGTTGTCGACGGTTGTTGCTTCGTCTCTAGTTTTACTTTCTTGGCGTCATTGTTGTTGTCCAAGTTGTTCATCTGAGGGCTCAGGTCGTTGCCGTTGCTCACGCTGCCTTGGGTAAGTAACTCGTCGGAACCTCGCTTGTTCGGCATTCTGTTAATGTCTTGCATATGAATATCCTCAGTCGACGCAGAAATCTGGCCTAAAGGTCTCTTCATAATGAGCTCGCCGCACGACTAATGATGGTTTAATTTGTGGAAAGTCCAACCGAAAACGGAACTGAGACACTCGGTCGGTCCTTAGCGATTTTAGTTAGTATGGATGACTCGGGTTTAAGCGACAAAACTGCGGCAATCTACAAAAAAGAGAAAGAAAACAAACGAAGCTATACTACAAGACCCATGATAGTTGATAGACTTTTGGGGATTGTTGAAGTAGGTTCTCAATTATTATCGACTCGGCCATAAATCTTAGGTGATGGAAAATTGAAGGGGAAGAGGAGTGAAATCTGAGTAGATATAGTAATGAGGTAAAAGGGAGTTTTTTTTACACTATTTTTTTTTTTTTTTTTTTTTAAAAAAAAACATGAGAACAAATACAAGCACCAAATCTTATTTTTCAAGAGGGTTCAAACGAAGCTAGATCTCTTAAGCTCCTCGTATGCGATATCATCACTTGGTCCTCCGCATGTGATGGCAACATTGACAGGTTGCTTCCTTAAATCACCAGCCATGGCTATTTATTTTTCATTTGTCTTTTGAAATACTACTGAAGAAGTAAGAGGAGTTCAAGTGTAAAAATGGAGCCAAGCAGTTGAGAAAAATGTTGAAATTACGAAATGAAACATTCAGTGCCGATGAACGAGAGGCAATTGAAAAAAAAGTTGGTAGTTGGTTACTGAGGAGATGAAAAATGTTTGAAAAAAATTTCCAAGAAATGAACAGAGATCATCACTATTCTGTCAATGAATAATGCATGATCATTGAAGACCTAGAAGCATTACCTACTGGACATCTAAGGGCGCAGAGTGTTCACGACCAACGACCGATAGGTTGTTTGCAAACTACATGAGCAGTGGGGAAATTGCGTACGCCCCTGAATGACGGACGATATAAAATTTATTACGTTTTGATCAAAGCACGCTCCATTTTGGATTAAATTCTCCATAAAATGGAGCAGGCAAAATTTCAAAAGTCGGGGGAAATTGTGTCCCCCATTTTACCCCCCAAGGGAGGCTAGGGGGGCTTCGGGACCATAAAAATCGGATTCCTTGGGGTCGATTACCGGATGAACCATCTTTATCCGGAGATTCTGCGTCAATTTTTGACCAAAGGGAAATTATGGAGGGGGCCGCTGTCCCCCTCTTTAATAGATCATTTTTGGGCGTAAAGAGATACAATGGACCACTAGACAAGGTACGAATTTCAGCATTCTGATACATGTTTCTTCGCCAAAATTTTACGTAAAACACGATGCGCACAACGAAAATTACCGACATCAACTCCTTCCGAAGATATTCAGGGTGATCCAAAAGTCCCTTCCACCCCCTCTAACTTTTTACCTAATTGAGGTAAAGATTTGAAACTTGGGGGATATTCCTAGGTCAAAGGGAGCTACTTTTTGGCCCCCCTAAAATTTTCAGGGGGGCCCCCCTTGGGGGGGCAACGGCCCCCAACTTTTAATTTTCAAATGGGAAGACCCCCTTTGTGATAGCTCGTTCGAAAGAGCATAAAAAAAGAAAACTTTTCGCGCAAACCCGAAGTCAATATCTCAAACCGTTTCAAAATGGCGGCCGGTTAAAGTTCAAAATGGCCGAAAATTCACACCGGTTATTTGTCGATGGATTTGCGCGAAAATCGGTATGTAGGGGTATTTTGACCCGAGAAAAACGAATTTGACGTTAGATTTTCAAAAAAACCGAAATTTCCAAAATGGCCGCCGGTTAAAGTTTAAATTGGCCGAAAATTGTCACCTCGGTTTTTTGCTGATGGATTTGCCTTAAACTTGGAATTTGAGAGTATTTTGGCATAAGATAAACAAATTTGAACTTAGATTTCTAAAAAAATCAATTTTTTGTCATTTTGAACTTTAACCGGCGGCCATTTCGGAAATTTCGGTTTTTTTGAAAATCTAACGTCAAATTCGTTTTTCTCGTGTCAAAATACCCCTACACACCGATTTTCGCGCAAATCCATCGACAAATAACCGGTGTGAATTTTCGGCCATTTTGAACTTTAACCGGCCGCCATTTTGAAACGGTTTGAGATATTGACTTCGGGTTTGCGCGAAAAGTTTTCTTTTTTTATGCTCTTTCGAACGAGCTATCACAAAGGGGGTCTTCCCATTTGAAAATTAAAAGTTGGGGGCCGTTGCCCCCCCAAGGGGGGCCCCCCTGAAAATTTTAGGGGGGCCAAAAAGTAGCTCCCTTTGACCTAGGAATATCCCCCAAGTTTCAAATCTTTACCTCAATTAGGTAAAAAGTTAGAGGGGGTGGAAGGGACTTTTGGATCACCCTGTTTAAGGATTCTTGGTGCGTGAATTCAAACCACCCGCTCATGAAAACTCAGTGCTCTACGTGACTCACATCGCGCGCTGAACGTTATCATGACAGTCTCTGCGATATAAAAATCTGGCAACCTCAATCTTGACGCTTTGGCTCAGCTTTAGCAAATTGCTTATTGTTTGAACAACACATGGTGGGAAATGAACATTGCTCGATTGAGAAGCTTGCTGAAACCGTTGTAGTGCACGATTTGACTCATGTAGAGCTTTGAGTTTCTTGGGAGCGGGCAGTTCAAATTTCTTATAACCAATGTGAAATAAAAATATTAATTTCTCGGTTAGGAGTTGGTTTCAGTAATTTTCGTTGCGCGAATCGTGTTCTACGTGAAATTCTGGTTAAGAAACATGTATTAGAATGCTTAGATTCGTACCTTGTCTAGTGATCCATTGTGGACTTTAGGGGGTCAATTTCACGTGAAATTTTCTGTACTTTTCAATTCTAATGAAATCGAACAAAATTCGATTGAGTACACCGACTTTTAAGATCCTGACCCCCCTTTACCCCCAAGGGAGGCTGGGGGGGGGGGGTTCCCGAGACCATGAACTTCGAACAACCAATGAAAATCGAATTCTATGGGGGTCGATTCCCTATACAACCCCGCGGTCCCCGATTTCGTTCGATCTAAATCAACCGAGAAAAAGGCCTGGTACGGGTGCTCTGGGACACCCTGTATACCTAGAGTTTTACCTTTTACAGGCGCTTGCAGAGTACCTATATAGGGAGAGTATGGTCACTTCAGTTACCACCTCTGATTGACTCAGCCATCTTAGGCTGAATAGAGCTTTCCGGGGCCCAAAAATGGCGGTCGCTGTAAATAAATGTAAAGATAAAATTACTCAAAATGTAGTTTTACTTGCACATTGCAGCGGGAACTTTACTTAAATGCACCAGTCCGACAAATTGACAAAGTTTTACGGCTAATCGTGTGCCATGCTCTCGAAAAATCACTTTGGATGCAATGGGGTTGGCAATGGACACCCCCCCCCCCCCCCCCNCCGCAAAACCCAGAAGAACGCGCCGCCATTCGTGGGCCCTAAGCCTCTCCATGGGGCCCAGTGGCCGTGCGCTCCCGGTAAAGGTGCTCTAGGCGCTTGCTACGATCGTTTTTTGCGCTAAGTTTGAAGGTTCAGAAATTTTCTTCCGGAAGATGAGGTGCCTTTCCACAGAACCAGTCACGATTGAAAAGCAAAAAAACTTGGTCGCATATCCACAACATTGAAAGAGGGCTCGGTATCTCTTCGGCTGAATCGGAGATTTTAACGCAGAGTAGAAAAGTTGGATGAGGCGAAACGCGTGATACAACTATTTAGACTTTGGAGTATGTAAACTTGCAAATCCATGAAATGAAGGAGAGCGTGAACTCTCTTCGGCTGATTCGGAGACTTCAACGCTCGCTTCATCGATCTTAGGGGCTTGTGGATAAATATCGAAAAGCCAACGACAAAAATATTGGTATTAGGAGCAAAAGGGCCGTTCAAGTATTACGTAATCCACTTTTTCCAATTTTTTGCCNCCCCCCCCCCCCCATTTTAAAAAACATCAAGAAAACGCCAAAAACACAGCTTGAAAAGATTCGTTTTTTTTGTGGATATTTCGCTGAAATACGACAGGAAGAGATTAGCAAAGGTGTGATAATACATGACTAGATTTGTTTTATTTATTATTTTACCGGAAAAGTTCACTTAGACAATTTTGAATAAGTTGACAATGGAGATGTTGCATGTGTGAGGAATTTGCGATTTGACTGTTGATTCTTATGTAGAAGTTCGCGAGATACGCGATGGTGCCACTGGTTTTCTCTGAAATCAACTCCCGAGCTCAAAAAAAGCTCTCAAGTTGAGGCCAAAATGGAGGGGATATCCCACCCTACCCTGAGAGTCCACCTCTATACATCAAAACAAACTCTCCATGCAAAGATAGGGAGCAAATACATTGACAGGGCTGCCACTTTATTTGGGGACTCTTAAACTGAAAACACGGCAACCCTGCTAATGTATTTGCTCCCTATCTTTGCATGGAGAGTTTGTCTTGATGTAGAGGTGGACTCTCAGGATAGCGTGGGATATCCCCTCCATTTTGGCTTGAGAGCTTTTTTTGAGCTCGAGAGTTGATTTCAGAGAAAACCAGTGGCACCATCGTATTTCTCACGAACTTTTACGTAAGAATTGATAGTCAAATCGGAAATTCCTCAAACATGCAACATCTCCATTGCAAAGATTATATTGAAATAAAAAAAGGAGGCAAGGGGATGAGTTAGTGCGACACGCGACAGACTGGGTCGCGCGCCGAAAAGATTCACTCGAGAAGGGCGGGATTTTCAATTTTTCGCACGTTTTTTTCCTTCAGAGTTTTATCTACCCCCTGCTCGGATTTGTTACGTATTACTGCCCCAATAAAAGCGTTACGTACAATACTTGAAAGGCCCTTCACTCCATTGGCTTCCAAAATTTTTGTCTCCCTCTTAAAAAAAAAAAAAAAAAAAAAAAAAAAAAAACCAGCAATTTTTCAACGACGAAAGTTACATATTGCTAAATTGGATACCCTCCTCTCACATCGCTCACTGAAACTGTGACTTATCTTTCTCTCCCCCTGAAAGCTTTCCATACACTGGAACAACCCCCTTTGACCTGTAACCGAACCACAGTGAGCTTTCATTCGTAAGGCTCAATGAAGCTAAAGACAACTAGATTTTTTCAGACTGAAAAATTCCGATCCAAACAATACATAACCTAGATTTCAGGGGCGTGATGATGGTCTGAGGTGATAAGATGGAAAAGGTATTTTAGGAGAATGATGCTTTTTGTGAGAGGAGTCATTCGATACAGGGAAGAAATTCACTAGGAGAAAAACGGAGGGATGAAGGAAGAAACAAATAATTACAGAAATTAATGCAGTGTGTGTCCAGAGACAGTTTTCTCTCCCATTCGGGGAGTAAGTAATCAGTGTTATGGAGTGATGAAATCATAGTTGATGGAGTGCAATGCAGCACTCTTAGAGAACCACTAACTGATGCAGCACAAATCTTGGCAATGAAATCAGCTGGAGCAAGAGTCTACATAACTTTATACAGAAAGGATTTTATAGACTTAAAAACTCCTGTGTTCTGTCTTCCCCGGGCGCCATGCCTCGAACGCGTTTGAAATTTGTGAGAGCTTGGCCCCAAGAAGCACAGCACAACGAACATATTGAAATCAAGTTGAAATTTGATTTCAATGAAATTGCAATTTTTTTAGCATTAAATTGCAATATTTGTACATCTTTTAGTCGATTTATGCCGATTTTAAATAATCAAAAAAATAGGCTCCATATGTCAGAAAGATAGGCAATATGCAATGTAATGAAAAATTGCAACTTATTTCAACTTTATTGCAATAAGTTTCAATGAATGAGGCCCCTTCAAATAGGAGCTAGGCAACATACACAACACTCAGTGGGATTGCTATATTTTTACAATGTAATTGCTACTTATTGCAATCTGTGCTACTTGGATTGGTCATCATGGCATCTAAAACAGTTGACGCACCTGGTTGACTCTTACCAACTCTTTCATGCGCCATGATGGAAATGCAAAAAATTGATTTGGCTCCTTAAAAACTGGGCTTCCCCATCAGAATAGCTCCGAAAATTGTAGTGGGAAGGCAGAGCACTGCTTCACTCACAAATAAAATAAACGCAGCTGAATTCTGTCCCACAGGAACTGCATTTCTAAGCTGTCATTCTTGGTTTGAACTCGAGGCTGTAAGGCGAGTTTGAACCTTTCAAAGTTGATTTCGATGCAAATAAATTGTTGAGTACTAGGTAACTAGTCAAATAATAAAAAAAAGAGGATAGTATTCCATTCGAGCAGAAAGAAATGAATAGTTAGTTCTATCAGTTAGGAAAGCGAATAAACACTCAAGTAAACAACAACTGGACAGCGGAAAATGGAAGTAGAAATTAGTTTGTCACCAAAAAATCAAGGAAAAATTAACGTTATTCTGAGGAATTGAGAGGGAAGTAAATTCAATAATCACACTTATGGCACTACGACACTAAATGGACTTCATTTTGCGATTAGGAACTACAACTTCCGGCTAATCTGCAAAAACACGGATGTACATATGGAAACTGATGGTACATATGTTGTTTTTAAACTGAGCCAGAAACTGTGATTCCAAATTGCAAAATGTAGTCTAAATTATATTCATCATCACGGCACGAACAGAATAGAGAAAAAAAATGTAACCATTCACGAGATAATGGATCGAGGAGCTGTAAAAATGGAAACTGAGATATTGGTAGGTACCATCGCTTGAAAACGGACTTCCCCAACATTTCGGTGTAATAAATAAAAAGCCCAACAATAATAAACAAAACTGCACTACGCAATAAAAATTAGAGGCTTACAGGTCAAAAAATTCAGTTTTTAGAAAAACCTACATAAAGTCAAATCTTGCTTGATTGGGTCTCGTAACTGCCCAATTAAAACGCTCATATACAAAAATTCAGCGACAAAAAAACAAACACATTTTTGGGGATACTAGAGAGCTTTCAACAGCGCATGCAAAAACGGTGAAAGTCTCTTTCCGTTTTGTTCTTTGGTTTTGAAAAAATATTCTGTTTTAGAAAGAGGAGCAGCCAAAAATAAAAATGCATTCTTTCAGGGATCCTTCGTAATAAATAGCTTTTGAATACGGTTTAATCCTGCAATCAAAAGGCATGTAAAGTTTCTGGCACTTTTCTCAAAATTAGGAAAATTGAACATCAGATCTTCTTGCGATACCCAGCCATTTAAGAATTAAGTTATGGCAAGTATTTGGGTCTGTAAGTACAGACAGATTTGACTTGCTTAAGAAGAGGTGATCCTGCATATGATAATATCTACCATAAGTGATCTTCATGATCACGTCCGCATGAAAAGGTGCTTTATCACCAGTTTTGATGATCATTAGCTCCAGAAAGAGCCTTGAATAATCAGTTCAAGAAATATTTGAACTAGAATGACAGGAATAATGTTCCATTATGTAGGACACTTAAAAACCTGTGACATTCAAGGGAGGAGAGTATGAAAAGTGCGTTGTTGAAAAAAGCAGTTTGGGATCGTTTAGAAACAGAATTACACAATGCCAAGTGATTGGCATGGTTGGACTCCATTTGAATTACCCGATGACTTGCATATTTACATACAAATGCATGTTTCTACCTAACACTTAACAATCTTGGGTGGTTCATGGGACCACGGGGTTACGTTTGCAAACAAAAGAACCAAACATTAACGGATAAGTTTATTTTGACAACACACCTTTAGTTCTTGTCAATGGAAAAGAAGATAGAGCTTGCTCATCGAATGTTGAGACTAAAGTAAACCTCTGATTAAAAACACCCAACAGTTTAACACATGTGCTCAGATGAAGAGTAATTCAGGATAAACTTGATTATATGCGTACAATTCATAAACGAGCTCTAGAAAAAAGGAAAAGTGCGGGGGTATATTGAGGAACAACTGATTTGGCAGTGTATAAATTTACTTATAAACTTTGAAATTGTAATGGATTTTCTTTATCTTATAAACTTTGAAATTGTGATAAATTTTCTTTATCAATGGGACCGATTGTATCAACTCTCCATAATGCGTTCAGCGACTCTCGGTTCGAAAAACAGACGATCACTTTCAGTGATGATTCTTTCACTTCTTCTTTCCTTCTTTTTAAGCTCATTCACTTGTTTGCATTACAATTTAAAAAATTCAATCCTTGTTTCTTCAGAATTTTGTAATATGAGTTTGTTTTATTTTTGTTTTTTTAACTCATGAGTATTAAGGAAGTTTCCTATTTCTGTATAGAAGAAATGAACTAGAACAGAGGGGGCTAAATGATACTCTCCCCTCGAAAGATTGATAATTTTCTAGGATGAGTACTTTAATTTAAATATTTGAACAGAGTGTGCCTCAACATCAATTAGATAAACCTGAGATTCCCTTGAGCACTGACGCAAACTATAAAATTAATAAAATCATAGCAATGTGAGGGTCGGGTCCCTCTTGTCTCATTTAAGGAGCGGTGTCACATGATAGGTGGCACTGATGACATAACAGAATATTTTAAATGAATGGGTAACATGAAAAACAACCTTCTAGATCTTAGCTTGAAAATATGTGAAAGTTCTACAAAGATAGCCGTTCCAGATAAGCAAGTTCTTACCAATATATTCAAACTTAGGAATTATAAAAGATGGCATCAGATATTTAACATCAACATGGAGCCTCTATTTAGAAACAGAAAAGTAGCTGAACATTGTTGATATTTAACAAGGGTGTGTAGTAAGTGTGATGTCAAATTAAACTGTTTGGAAACAGAATCACCCACAAGCGCATATTCGACTTGGTTGAACGTAAACCTGATTATTCTATGATTTGCATGCTTACAGATGAATGCTCAAAATCCAACCCGTAATGATTTCTCAAAGTTCTCATGACTGATCAGGTGCCTTGCATAAATAGAAGCACTAAACAGTAACAGATAAGATCCCTTTGGCACTGCATTTCTTTATGGAGTCAGAAGATTTGAAATAGGTAGAGCTCACGCATCGTACATTGAGACATATGTCCATTCCTGATTAGCTCTGATTCAGTACGACTCAACAGATTAATATATGCAGTCAAATAGTACGACTGATGAATGATGACATAAACAATATTTTGACATTAGTTTCAACATTTGATGCGGGAGCTCTAGAAACCAGTTTGCAGGACAGCTGCGATGATCATCCTGTCCTGGACCAGAGAACCAAACAATCATGGCTATGAGAGCCTAACTGAAAGAGTTGCCATTGACGGAGCAATTAATCAGGCAACGTTTGAGATATACGCTAAGATGCTGCAGGAAAGTCAACACCCTTGCGAAGAATATAGTGACTCATCCAGTAAGCACAGGTGCAACAACCATTCTTCCAGCTGATCAGCCGTCACTGTAGATGAACTGAGGATCAGTGGATGGAAAGGGAAAAGGGTGAAAAGTGAGGGGTGTTGTCAAAAAAACTAAAATGAACAAGCATCACTACAGCCTCAGATCCTGGAGGATGTGCCAAAAAAGCGACGAATAGAGCAAAGAGCAAATGCAGAAACCAGACGTTTAGCTCTACATCTTTTCGATGCTACCTCAAAAGAACTGGGATGAAGGGGGATTGTGGACATCAAACCAAAAAGATTCGAATGGCAAAACGTATCAAAGGGCCGATAGGAGAGGAATGTTTCATAGTTCAGGCAATTGAATGCCTGCAGAATAACCTTAAATTCAAGACTTTTCTAAGACAAAGAAACCAAAAAATGGGGAATGGAACATGATGAGGATACGTACCAGCGGTGGCTGACTCTCCAAGCTGCAGCAGAATTGGCAGGAAAACTCCAATAATTGTGGAAATCGTAACTTGCTTCGGCAAACAAACCATCATCATGGCTTACTAACTGTTGAATGTGGGCCGTTAGGTCGAGGGAGGCGGCATCAAATCGGACAAACACTTCTTTGTATACAGGGCACGAAATTTAGAAAAGTAATTAAAGGAGGGAAATAAATTTTTCTTAAACTTTAAACAGTCACAGGACTTAATCAAAAGAAACAGCGACACGGTCAATAAACTTAATTACCAGAACGGGATCGGAGAACAGAAGGCTGTGGTCGCCATTAAGCCTCTGGAACACCAACAATCGCCACGGTCCATTTTCCATGATCGTTTGGTGCATGCTGCCAACTGTCCCTATACCTCACCATAAGATGCTTGGATTATACGATGGAGGCTTCTCCTTGTTTGTGAAACTAAACATCACTAATCCTTCAACTGTTATTTATCAGTGAAGTTTTAGATTTTCAGATAAGTCAAAGAGAAAATCATGGTGATTAAACCAGCTGAAATTCCGCCATGTATTATGAACGAGGAGGCATTTTAGTGTCATATATTATTTTAGAGATGGTGTACCTGACAATATACTCCGCCATTTTTAATTAATGTTGCGCTATAGTGTCCGTGTACTGGAGGCTTCATTTTTCTTTCTTCATTCTCTCCCCTCTCTTCTCCCCGCGGCCAATCTCTCCAATTAAAATCCCACGAACCCGAAGCACGAAGCACGAACCCTCCCGATGCACGGCGAAGTGACTCGCGGGTTCACGGACCCGAAAGTTCGGCGCGCAAAGTCAATCGTTCTTTTTCTTTCGCCCCCTAATTTATGTAAGTGACTTTAATTTTCTCATCCTCATCTGCATCTGTTGTAGGCAGTGCCGTCGCGAGAAATTATTTTTACGAAATCAAACTCATCTTTTGGCGCCCTTATAGTGCCTACGTTCAATTGG